TCTTCTTTAATTTTTCCATTTCTGTCTTATTATCCTATATTGGGTTGTTCTGATCAGCCAAATAATTATTTCCTTCAAAGTAGTATGTGATTTATTCAAAGATTTCTAAATATATTCCTTATGTATTCTTACAGGTAAAATAAAATATACTTTTCTTTGCCCTGACAATAGCCCTATGTATCTCTCAAACAATATTTGCAAATAGGTAAACTAGTTGGACCAAAGCATTGGCTATCAGAGACAGATTCACAAATGCATTCAAATAATAAATAGGTGCATATGGAGAAGTCTGACAGTTTAGTGGAATTGCTTTCAAGAAATTTGACACATTTATACTTTCAAACATTTACCAGCCAGTAATCCTCATTAGAAATAGGATTGGAATATTGGGGTCACCAGCTCAAATCCATTTTTCTGAGACCTGAATAATAACCCAAAGTAAGAGCTAAAGGAAGTAAAAATAAACCTATCCCAAACATCAGAATTTTCAAAGTAAGCTCTTTCTCATTCCCCTTGGTTTTTTCCTTTTTTATCCCCCCCTCTCACCCTGTCCTTTTCTTTTTCATTTTACTCTACCCCCCATTCCGTTCTTTTTAGTGTTCTGAATTCATTAGATAGCATAGTGTAAATCAATAGTAAACGCTAACCGCCTACTCTGTACTCAGTTACGCAACATCGCATAACCGGTACACAGAGACAAAAAGGGAAAAAGCACACACAGCCTTTACATTCACGAGCTCTTGCATAATTTCACTTTTCCACAGCCAAAAAGAAAAAAAAAAAAAGGAAATAACAGATGGGGAAACTTACAGTTTTTTTCCCTTTTCTCAGACTGTTTAGAAGGGAGTTAGTTAACATCTAGGGCCATTTCTAGTTGCCCTAGGCTGCAGCAAAACATCCCATAATTGTCAGTGCCTTAACTGGCTTTAAAACAAGACTTTTTGACCCTCTGTGATGTGATGGATTTTCCAGGTAATATAAGACTGAAATAATTTTGAGGTGTTTTCATTTATTTTATGAAAAATCAAAAATATGCTAAGCATGAAATTAATTTTAAAACAGAGGATAAGAAAGATTGTGTGTGTCTGTGTGTGTGTGTGTGTGTGTGTGTGTGTGTGTGTG